ATAATGTTAAAAAAATTTTAAAAAATCATCAACTTTTCTATGGTTCTGCCCAAGAAGTAAGAAATAAAATATTGCGTGTTACTAATAAGAATCGAGTTGATATAGTCTCAGTTAAGTTTCCTAGTGTTGGGCACTTTCTTAGTTGTCTATCTCATCGAAATAAATATTAACTGCAATGAATATCATTCGGCATGATGCTGTTGCAATCAAAAAAATTTCTCCGCTGCTTCACAGCAAAAAAGTGAAAAATATATTGTTGCAGTGCCTTCTATTGTATCTATATTAGTATATTTATTCCCATTAATTAAGCAGTATTAGCATAAATAAAATGAGATTTTTTTTATTGTTTTCTTAAACGAATCAGCAACATTTCTGAACTAACTTTGTTTTTTAGTACATAACTTTTTTTATTTTGAATTATTTAATTTTATGAAATTATGTTTGAAAATCATAATTATAAACAAAATAAGCATGGGATTTCAGGTAACTTTTATAGGGGCGTACTTAGGGTCTCAGCAGCCCTGGACTCCTGGACAAAATATTAAGGTATTTTATCATGGTTAATAAAAATCATGTTTTGTTTAACAAAGTTTGTTATTAAACATTGGATTTTTTTTTATCTTAATCACTTTGTTTAAAAACCGTTTTCGCGTTTAACGATCAAAACTCAGACGAAATGTATAAATAATACTTTAGAACATTATTTAGCACTACATTATGCTGCTACATTTTACTACATTATGCTGCAACTAAAATTCTTAATACCACTAATAATAAATAGGTTAATAATATTACTCAATTACTGCTAACTAATTACTGAATTATTAAATTCAGTTATTATTTTTTTATGAAACTAAAAACCTTAATGAATCGCAAAGACAGAGAACCAACTTGTCGAATGAAAAGTAAATTAATTTAAACTAGAAAACATTTTCAAAAACAAATTATTCATGGCAGAACAAGTGTCTTTTCTTTACTTCCAAGTAAATATTTAATAAGTTTTAAAATTACTTGAATTGAAATAAATGTGCATTAAATTAAATTAATATAATTGAGATATATTTATTAATAATAAAACAGCAACTTAATTTAAATACTACTACGGCACATTAAAATATGAAAATGATATGAAATAAATTAATGACAAATTGTAATTTAAAAGTTACATTCTTATCTACATTTAAGCTCTTAAAAAAGGGTAATATTTTGTTTCTAAATTTATTAACTTATTTTTTGATTATATAAATAAAACATTTATCATCAATTAGATTTGATATCATTGATCTATTATCACATTTTAAGTATAATATAATAGTCAATGAAATACTATATAAATAATATTTTGCAGATAAATCTAAGGCTCCTATACTACCACGATCAAATCTATGATTTAAAAAAATCACTTGATTCAAATCAATGATACTAAATATCTTAAATCAAGCCAACCCTGCCTCTTATTTTTCTTGACATTTCTGCAGCAGTTCTTATAGATTGCCCCCCTCCCACACTCACAAATTGGCAATAGATGAAATTTTTAACACAATTAATTTCTATGAGATTAAGGTTGAGAGTGGACAAAAGTTCCATGTAGTTACTTTAAAAATTACACATCTGATATAAAGGAATATTAATCGAAATGAAATTAGACTCATTTGGAAAGATAAATTATAATAACTTGCATGAATTATACATTCAAGGCGCAGTAAAAGTATATCAAAGATTTGTTGCTGTTGTAGTTAATTAACGTTGCAGTAGAGCTGCACAATGGGCTATTGGCGACGGTCTGGGAAACATCCCTGAGGATGATCCGAAGACAAGCCATCACAATTTTGACTCTCTGCAGAGGGGGTGACACCCCCGCTCCGGTAGCCCAACGACCTGCACTCGAAGTCGAGCACTTTACGGTAGAGCAGTTTAAACGAGGACCCATACCTCACACCCTCGGTCCTTACGCAGACTGATCCAAGTGGTCTCCCTTCCACACACTGTTCGCAGCCAGTGATGCCTGACTTCGGTGATCTTCTGGGAACCGTGTCTTACCCAGAAAGCATGTAACCTTACGACAACCTTGTGTTTTAACTTTATTTTCATTGTCACGAAAAGGTTTGCAGTAAAAACCTTTTTTCAATGACGTAAAAATATTGCAATTTCCTACCTTTCCTCCTTAAAGGAAAAGTAAATGATTTTTAAATCTTTTTTAAAAAATATTGTTATTTGGGTTAAAAAACAAGCAAATTGTAAACCTTATTTTTTGCATTTTTGTTTGCTGTCATGATTAGATTAGCAGAAATATTAAGCGAAAACCTTTTTCAAAGGAAACGAAATAAAGCAAATATTAACCTTTTCAGCGAAAATATTAATAAATAATTAGAAAATATTTTGCAAAGGACCTCATTTAAGAGAAAGCAAATAACCGAGCATAAGACCATGTTTTTGGATTGTTTTTTATGGTCTGCGAAAGTACAATACGAAAAATTTCTTTCTTACATACGAAAGGTTTCTCGACACAAGTATAAGTAATAGTTCTTTTTTAGAAACTTTTCATTCAAACAATCTCATTAAAATAATAAATAAAATTTGAATCTGGAGTTTAAAATTGACTCTTCAATATTTTGTTACATATTTTTTTTCCTTCTCGAATTTGGCTTTAGGGGTCCTATGCGTTGCGG